CAACAATGTTCACACAAACTAGAGCCTTTATTAGACAAAAGCTTAGAACCTAGATGATTATGAGAAAGAATATGATGAAGCTTCTTAGATAAAGGATAACCAAGTCTAAAATGCCAATTAGGTGAAGCTGCAGATGATGAAGAGCAAGAAGAGCAAGCTTGAGAAGTTGCAGATGCAGCAGATATGAATGCAGCAGAAGCAGATGCACTGAATGGATAAAGTCTATTTGAGTAGCAGCCTTTATTCAAGATTTTCTGAGTGATCTTGCCCTGAATAACAAAAGAGCTCTCATCAAAAGTGATAGTGCGGTGATTATCCATGGCCAATTAGTGAACAGAGAGTAAATTGGAAGATAGTATAGCCACATGAAGTAGTTTTGTAAGATGAAAAGAAAAAGAAGGAGTTGGAAGAAGACCTATTCCAATGTGAGCAATGAAATGAGTAGAACCATCACCAACTGCAACTTGATCTTGGCCATAGTATGGCCGAGAGAAAGATAGCTGACTTAGATCAAGTGTCATGTGACTGGTGGCTCCAGAGTCAAGAAATAGTTATCAGATTGTGGCTGATTTGAAGATGATGCAACATAGGCTTTAGATTGGGACTGGGTGGGAGAAGGTTGCTAAAAAGCTGTGTCTAACCTGTACTAGCAATATAGAGCAATGTGATTACTTTTTCCACAGATTTGACAGATCACATTTGAAGAATTAGTATTAGTAGCAGCTTAAGGATTGTAAGTATAGCTGGATCTACTAGCTTGAGGATTGTAAGTATAGCCGGATCTGTCTCTCTAAGACTATGAGCCTCTTTGATAGTGACTCATCTGTCCTCTAGGCCTACCTTCATCTCTGCCTCTGAAAGAACCTCTGCCTCTATAATAGCCTTTAGAACCTCCTCGATTAGAGTGATTTCATCTGTGTGCAGTGTAAGCAATGGAACCTGGAAGATCTGAGGCATATGTATGTTTAAGAGAGGACTCCACATGAATAGACTCTGAATAGAGTAAAGAACAAAGCTGATCTAAGGAAATAAGATATAATCTTGTGCGTATAGCAATTTTTGCAGCATTGTACTCCTCAGGCAGCCCATTCAAAATCAGGAGAACTAGGTCTTCATCATCAATAGGAGATGATGCTAGAGCAAGTTGATTAGATAAGATCTTGAATTGATTCAGATATTCATTCATTGTTGTTCCTTTCTTAACAATCTTACTCAACTTGTTCTTTAACTGATGTATGTGAGATCTGGAAAGTGAGGTAAATCATTTGGCAAGAACAATCCAAACTTCATGACTAGTTTTGGCATTGAATTACAGTAGTGAAAATAGATGGAAACAAAGTTGCAGTGATGCAACTTAATAGATGAGCATCAATAGTAGTCCATACAAGGTTATTGGAATCTAACACAACTGCAGGAGGACATACTTCTGATCCGTCTACATAGCCAAGAAGCTTTGTTGCTCTCAAGATGTTCTGCAATTGATTCTTCCAAACTATGTAATTAGATGAATTAAGCTTTGTAGAAACAAAAGAATTGAGATTGGAAATCAATAATGTGAGATTAGAAGGTAAGGCAATAGATGAAGGCATTATGAAAGAAGAAGCAGCAGTTGCAGGTATGGAGTTTGAAGAAGCAGCAGTTGCAGGTATGGAGTTTGGAGAAGCCATTGATGAAGCTCTGAAAGCTTTCTTGCTTGTAAGAGCCTAGGGCTTTGATACCATAAAGAGAATGAATATCTTTTGTATTGAATGAATATAATTGTTACAGAGAGAAGATTTATTTATACACTCAATGAAACCTAACCATAACTACCTAACCTTGAATCTAACTACTTAACCAAACTGCAGTTAACCTTTAATAGTTAACTTCTAACAAACTAACAACTTATGTACAGCTGTAGATTACTACACAAGTGTGACTTTGGCTGCAAGTGCAACTGCTGGAGCTTTAGCTGTATCAGTTGGAGCTCAAGCTTTAGCTGAAGACTCTGATAGCTGCTGCTGCTGCTGCAATGGCTGTGTGAGCTGTTGCTTATCAATGCTTTGCTTAGTAAAATTGTATCCTTGGGTTAATGTAACCCCAAGTCCATTACTAGAGTTCAAGTAGTAAGAAGTTTGTTACAGATAAAAAATTAAACTTGGAAATCTTTTAGTTGAAATAAATGCTCGATAAAAAAAATATATATATTCACAATAAATTGGGGGAGGGGGAAAATGAAGCATTTTGCCTCTTGGGCTTTTTACCGTCACTCCTTGTGCTTACAAAAAAACAAACAAAAAAAAAGTTTGGAACACACAGCAACACTTCTTTTGGGTGTGAATAAAAAAATTCTTATTTACAAAAAAAAACTGATAGGAGGAGCTTAGATGGGTTCGACAAAGAAAAGTTACTGCACATTAGAGATCTGCATGTATTCTTTTAAGATTTGCCTACGTTGTGTTTAATTGAGAGATTTGAGAAGAAATTTAGAAAATAAAAATGAAAGAAAAAAAATTAAGAACTCTAAATTAAGAGCTCTAATCAGCTTGTTTGGTTTCGTTTTTCTAAAAACAGTTTTCAGAAAATTTTACTTTCTTATTTTTCGTATTTTTTTGATTTTTAATGAATTTTTTTAATATTTTAAACAATTTTTTTAATTTTTAGATATACCTAACATAAATATACCTAAAAAGTAAAAAAATTGTGAAAAAAATCTTTTAAAAATTCACTAAATACCAGAAATACAAAAAAAAATACGAGAATTCAGTACATTTTTTGTATTTTTATGTATTTATTAATTTTTAAAAATATTTTTTCACAAATTTTTTACTTTTTAGATACATCTAAGTAAAGTGCATCTAAAAAACTAAAAAAATGTTTAAAATTTTAAAAATATTCACTAAAAATAAAAAACACGAAAAACAAAAAACTCAGTTTTCAAAAAACTTAATCCAGAAAACTCAAACCAAACACACTGAATAGCTCTAATTGGTGTGTGGGTTCCATGTGAAGTGATATTTCGACCTTGAATTTTTTTTACAAAAATGTTTAAGATCACTAAAAGTAGAGCTCTACTTATGTGGCAGTGGGTCCACTCATAAATGATTTGATGTATGTTCCTTTTTTTTTTATTTTTTTTTGCTCTATGCCACATTATTAGAGCCATTGTTAAAATTCTAAGTTTAGAGTTATGAATCATTACTTCGGTGTAAAAGGTTGTTTGGGAATTATTACAATAGCACACTTTTTTTAATTCTTTTTAAAATTATAATACCTATTTATTTTTCTACTCATATTTTCCAAGACTAAAACATCACATCATTAATGACGGGACCCACTGCCACCTAATTAGTGGGAGCACTAATTAGTGCTCCCAAGCATTTTTCCTTTTCTTTTTCTTTTTCTTTTTCTTTTTTTGATTTTCCACATCATTAGTGCTTTTTTAGAGCTTTCAAATTAGAAAGATGTATCATTTGTGGAAAGGAAAAATCTAGGTGAAATATGAATAAAATATATTTACATTCCATATAATTTCACACACGTTTTCCCTTTTCCTTTCCAAATCCCTTCCTAAATTCATCAACCAAACACAACATTAGATTATAACTTAACTCTAGCATAAATGAATAAAATCTAAATCACTCTTATGAAGATTCAGAATCTAAAGCACTTAAAGGAATATTTAACATAAACTATATAAGTGTATTTATTTAGATAAGTATAATTATTTGGGTCACATCACCTTTATAATTTTCTACATTTCTTTTTATAAAAAAAATGCTTCGGACCCCCACTGGGGGTCGACCCCCAGTGAGGTGGCGCGCCGTGATTGGACAAAAAAAAAACTGTTTTATTTATTTATTTATTTTTTTGAGTTTTAGCCAGTGGGGGCTCGCCACCTCACTGGGGATCTGTAGCATGGTTGTTTATAAAAAATCAAAAAAATATACTTATTTACATTATTCCAAATACTCTATTACTTACCAAACCCAATGAGAATGGCACAAACAACATCCTTTTAATTCATTATCGTACAGGTTGCAGGAAACAAATGTGCATTTTTTTCTAAACAAAGCATAAAAAGGGGCCAAGTATGAAGGACTCAAATACCAACAAATTTTATTTATTTATTTATTTGTCATTTTATTCTTCGGAGTTAGCGGAAAACAAAACTTTGTTTTAGATGTGTGTGGCTTTAGTTTCCTTGGATTTCATTCTCTCAACTCTCATTTTGGTGTTTCCAATACAAGTATTTTAGTCTTGTTTGAATTTAAATCCACAACACAACTAGAACCATTTCAGGATTGCAATTGTGCATCTCTTCTTAAAAACAGGAGTTTTGGGATGGTAAGTCTCTGAACAAAATGATTCTCCTCTCTATATGAAGGCTCTATCTGGGTGAAGTTAAAAATATTTTTTTTGAATTTTTTAAATCTAAATAAATTAAAAGGACAAAAATATGTTTATTTCCACAAAAATAGTTAAGGACTCACTCAACTTCGCACTCAAGCCAAAAAATAAAACAAAACAAAAAAATAAATAAAAAATCAAACGCATCAAATTTTTTAAACAAAAAAGTAAATAATTCACATGACAAAATGCACCATAAATTGTAGTCATATTAGCAAACTCATTTTCATGGATAACACCAAATGAAGAGTTTGTCCTTGGAAAACTATAGAGATAGAATTTGAGTTAAGAAATATACTCAAAAAATTAACGTGTGAGACTAATTGTGTTGTATAATTGTTTTTCATTTACTTGGTGTACAATTTTTTCTTCCTTCTCCATTAATTAACACGCATTAGTACTACTAAGTATATCTAATTTTTTCATTAATGATATATACAAAAAAAAAATATTTACAAAATACATAGTCTAAATTGTCAAAATAAAATCCGTCATAGACTGACCAACCATAAATAATAATTTTAACATAAGGATTGAAGATGATATTATCCAACTTCATCCAAAACAAAGGTATTTATTCTGATAATTCAAAATAATTAATTCCAGCATCAAAGACAAAGAAAGATATTATTTTAACATTTGCCTATTATTTTTCAAAAAGTCAGTACAAAAAGTAGAACCCCAATTGTCCCATTCCCAAAATGAACCGAAAGGCAAAAAGCTTCATAACTCCATCATTTCAACGGAGTTCATATCATGATTACCTTAAGAACCAAAAGCTATAAATGTAAACATTAAAAACTTGATGAAAGAGCTCAAAACATGGCACACCAATTGGATCATACTCTCTTGCCTCCTCAGTTTGCCCCTTTTTTTCCCTTCAAACTCTAAGCAAGTAAATGCTAAGCTCAGGACCTCCATGCCCATCAGGGTTCATCATATAGAAAGCATCAGAGTCCTTAGACCCAACAACTCTCTCAAACTTAGCTCTCATGTACATGACTTCACCTTCAGACCCAGTTTCATTATTTCCAGTCTCTGGCAACACTCCGGCCCCCATCGACACCGGTCCCACTGCCCCCAACACCTTCCACTCCTCCGCCCCGCATTCTCGCCTCATCGCATATCCACATTTCTTTCCATTGCAATATGTTCTCCAAATTGGCTCCTCAATTAATTTCATTCCTTTCTTCTCTGTTTTCTTTTCGCATTCAAGCGCAATTCGAACCAGCCCCGAAGCCATTTCTCTCACCAACACACTTGTCGGTGTTGCGAGTTCCACCAGAAAGGCTGGGCTCGACTTGGGATCCTCCTGGAATGCCAGGTGGACGTGCCCGCGCCTGTACCCAAACAGGGTACCTACCACTCGCGTGCCTAGACGCGAGTGTGACCCGCTCTTGCTATTGCTGAAAATAGCAAGAGCGGATCGGAGTTTGGAGACTTTCTTTCTCGGTGCCTGTAGTGTTGTTGGCATTGGAAAGTCAAGCTCGTTAACTTTCAGCTCCTCCTCGTCGCATGCTAGCGAGGAGGAGCTGAAAGTTAAGATTTCTTCTTCGTTGTCTTCTCCGTCTTCGACCTTCTTCTTCCAGTGGAAGTATCTTCTAGAGAATGAGAAGGAAGAGTCATGAGGGGATTTTGCTGTGATTGTCTTCATGTGGATGAGAAAGTCAAAAGAAAGAAAGAAAGAACAGAAGAGAAGTCCTTGAAGATTGGGGGTTACTTCTAAGAAGAGGAAAAAGATTGTGATTTGGTTATTATGCTATTGTCTTCTATATAGTGGTTGTATATGCTGATTTTATTCTTGGCTTTTCTATAGGGACTGCAAAGGAGAATCCTGCGACAAAAGGAAGGTGAGCAGCCACATCTACCAGTATTAGAAAAATGGAGAGAGAGAGAGAGAGAGAGAGAGAGACAAGAACAGGAGTGGTGTGAGATGGGAGAAGAGCATAGTGGAATCTAAGGAGACAAAGGCTGTGTGTTGTTGTATGTAACTTACCTTGGGGGTGGGGCTTGACTGATGAGCAATATGACTTTGCATTGGAAATAGTTGAGGGCAGGTAAAGCCACACCAAACTGTACCCACCGGGACCAAACCAAACACACCCAACCTCAAGTGTTCCCACCCCACTGCATTTTCATAAACATATTCATGAACCACGATAGATTTTTTTTTTTTTTTAATTTATGATTGTTGGTATTACTTATTAGTTAGATTAATAACTAAGAACACTAAAAAGAGAGTATTAATGAGGTGGCTCTCTATTTGATGTGATGGTTGTCTTTTGTGTTTTTTTTTTATTTTTATTTTTTATATTTTCTAACTCATTAAAACTATTGGAGATGAAATTTTTAATGGTCTTTGTCATTGCTGGATTAGTTATTACCCGCCGATTAGTCTGCTGGTCCGTCCTATGTAATGTGCACAACCTATAGTTTCCCTAGATAGGTTAGTGGACTCTAGAAAATTATTGGAGGGAAGAGATATTCTTTTAATATACAAGATTATTTATTAAAATGATAGGACAATAGTCAAATTAATAGATTATTTTATTCTAAAGTGATTGATTCATAAACCGTCATAAGTATCGTTTATTCTAAAGTATTTTTCCTTATGTTTGTATAGTATTAGATATTAAATACTTTGGGATAGAGAAATTAGTCAGTGCTTTTACTAATTTACACTATATAACTATTACTTTTAAGTATCACTTAAACCTGCTGCAAGGAATATTGAGTAATTTCTCTTTTGGAATAACATGTGTTATTTCTTATCTTTATTGACAAGTGAAAATATGAAATCTTGAACTCTATTTTTATTAATTTAATTAATCATAATTAATCAAAAACAAGTCTAATGTATGATCCGCAACTGCTAAATAATTTTTTTCTGAAAATTTGCCCACTGCCCTTTGCCTCTCATACTGCCATTTCACCAGTTCACACATACTAATGAGCCACCGTAGTGTTTTGTATAGTTTGGCCACCTAGTTAGGACTAAAAATGTATGAAAAAATAAAATATATTAAATAAGTTAATAAAATAAAATGTTATATTTGAATCATAATTATTATTTTTTTTTATAAAAATAAAAAAAATAAAAAAATCAATCTAAACGAAATTTTTAATCTCAAATTAAAAAATCTCAACTCAAAAAAATTAAGTATATTTTTTTTTTTTTGTCAGACAGTAACTTTATTAATCATATTTCAAAAGTGAATTGCACAAGCTCTAGTTTAGCTAGATTCAGAAGTTTGTGGACTCTGAGCTGTCTTTAGTGTCTACAAAGCCTATCGAAATAATACCCACTCAACCCAAGGGGTTGTGGCATTGTGATAAGATCTTGGGATTTAAGCCCTAAAATTGTAAGTTTAATTTTTTTTTTAGGTTAATTTTTTGGGCGAAGCACTGTTGGTTAGGAGGTTGGACTTCAAGGATGCCTAATCAGCTACTTGGTGTGGGTTTAATGCTCTCTCGCTGTGCAAGTCCTGACTTAATCGAAGCTTGCCTTAGGAGGTCGGGACAAACTTCCAGGTTATAGTCTCTTACTCAGAACGTTGGAAGGTCGGGACAAGCTTCCAGGCTATTGTCTCTTACTCAGAACGGACAACAGAACACTCTAGTGATCTCCTCATTCGGCGCTGCCTTACACCTGCGGGAGGGTAGGAGGATTTTCCTATAACAAAAAAAATAAAATAATACCCACTCTTTTCCTTCTACCCTTTTAGAGCATCTAGTGGTGAAATGTTTTTTATTTTATTTATAAAAATACCAAATTTAATTTTATTTGTAGCCTCCTCATTAAGATATAAATACAGTCTAGACTTTTGTGAAAATTTGACAATTTAGCAAAAATTTGTGCCAAATACATAAGATTCAAAATTTAGCAATCCAATGAAAATTGCGTATTATTTTTTTAACCTCAAATTACTACATTTTATCAAGGGCAGGTTATAGAAAAATTATATTCATAAAATTTCATAGAAAATGATGTTACAATATTGTTGTTGTAAATAAATTCATCTTTATATTTGTTTGGTTGTAAGTGAATGATCCTCATTAAACCTACTATTCAATATTTCTCAAATGTTTCTGGATCAAGTGCAGTGTTATTTCAAATTAATAAATATTGATTCAAACTAAAAATTCATTATTTTGGTATTTGAATTTCAAGAGATAATGGGAGCATTCAGAAAGAAGGTTGGGTTAAAATAATTTACTAAAAGATAAATAAATTAAAATAATCAATAAAATAAAATGTCACATCTAATTCATAATCATTTTATTTTTTTCTTTCACAATCATCAAATCAATTAAAAAAAACTAACTAAGCCTCTGTTTGGGAAGTGGGTTGGCTTTTTGACTTTTTGGCTTTTTGGTTTTTTTGGCTATTTTAGCCTGAGCTAAAAAGCTTGGTTTGGGAAGGACTTTTTGATTTTTTGGCTTTTTTGACTTTTTTTTGTGAGAGAAGAGTGTAATGATTATGGGTTAGATGTGATGTTTTGTTTTTTATGGTTAAAATAGCCTATTTTGTCTTTTGTGGCTAAAATAGCCAAAAAAACCCCAAACTCTTCTTGCCAAACGAACCCTAACTTCTCAAACGCAACTATCTTAATCAGATTAAAATAATCAAAAAAATCAAATAACTAACTCAAATGAGTTAATCAATTTCTCAATCAAGATCAATATAAAAACATCAATCCATTTACTTTTTCTAAAAAAAAAAAAAAAAAAGTTTTATTTTTCTAAAAAAAAAAAAAAAAAAAAAAAAAAAAAAAAAAAAAAAAAGTGGACTAATGATGACTAATCTACATTGAGCCAATAAACATGACCTAAAATAGAACATGCCAGATAGTGATAAATTCCAAAGAAAAAATTAAAAATTAAGAATTAGTACGAAGAAAGCAAAGTAATTATGAGACCTAATCTAGATTAGCATATGGTTAAATAAAAAAGAAATTTTAAATTTAAAAAAAAAAAAAGGGGGAAGAAAGATTAGCATATGGTTAAATAAAGACCACTTGATTTGATTTTGTTGCACCGTCCTACGTATGCACCCACCAAATTTGGTGTGACACAACGCCTCATAATCAAGACTTGCTGAATTTTAAGAATGCATGACCATGGATCCCCAATATAAAAATATCTATATATTTATTTAATAAAAAATAATATATAGAACCCAAATACTAAGATAATGTTTTATCATGTGAACTATCAAGTTCACAGATCAACTAATCATGAGCTAAAACCAGCTAAAAAGTAATAATTTATTAAGCAGCTTTAATCCCCCCACAAAACCTACAAATTTTCATCAGAAAAGCTATGGGTGTGTTTGGTAACGTTTACGTTTTCAGTTTATATTTACAAAAATTTTATAAACTGATTTTTGTTTATTTTTAGAAAAACATAAAAAAAAAAATTTTTAAAAAAAAAAAAAAAAAAAAAAAAAAAAAAAAAAAAAAAAAAAAAAAAAAAAAAAAAAAAGTGGACTAATGATGACTAATCTACATTGAGCCAATAAACATGACCTAAAATAGAACATGCCAGATAGTGATAAATTCCAAAGAAAAAATTAAAAATTAAGAATTAGTACGAAGAAAGCAAAGTAATTATGAGACCTAATCTAGATTAGCATATGGTTAAATAAAAAAGAAATTTAAAATTTAAAAAAAAAAAAAAGGGGAAGAAAGATTAGCATATGGTTAAATAAAGACCACTTGATTTGATTTTGTTGCACCGTCCTACGTATGCACCCACCAAATTTGGTGTGACACAACGCCTCATAATCAAGACTTGCTGAATTTTAAGAATGCATGACCATGGATCCCCAATATAAAAATATCTATATATTTATTTAATAAAAAATAATATATAGAACCCAAATAATAAGATAATGTTTTATCATGTGAACTATCAAGTTCACAGATCAACTAATCATGAGCTAAAACCAGCTAAAAAGTAATAATTTATTAAGCAGCTTTAATCCCCCCCACGAAACCTACAAATTTTCATCAGAAAAGCTATGCAATCAAAATATAAATCTACAATTTTGTATCAAAAATTTAAGGGGGATTTACATGAAGGTTCTAATAAATAAATTTATTGTCCAATAGTTCTTATAATAATTAATGAAGTTTTTTTATTAAACACTATTAAAAAACGTCACTAATTGTTAATTTTCAGCGACAATTTAAAATTTTTGTTACAAAAAAGTCACTAATTATATGTTTTAGTGATAGTTTAAAAAATTGTCACAAAAAACGATGCTACTTTTCAATTTTCAATGACAATTTGAAAATTTTGTCGCATAAAAATTTTACTAATTGTAATTTTTAGTGATATATGAAAAAAAAATCATAAAAAATGATTTTTAGCAACAATTTTATTAAGAATAATTTTAATTAAGATTTAATAAGAATTAAATCTAATTATTAAAACCTATTGATATTCCCTTCAAAATTTACGTGTGGTCCAAATTTAATTTTTGGATAGTGGAATCATCATCTAAAATGAATCCCCACTATGGATTTTTTGAATAAATTTTTTCTTTAAATTTCTAAAATTTGTATATTGCTGAATTTTATATGTGAAAATCTATCACCAATGACTAGGGCTAAACTTAGGCCCGTTTGTTTTCAGAGATAGAATGGAGGAGACTGATAATGAGGGAATTAATAGTAAGGAGATTGTTAGTGAGGGGATTAAATAAAATTGTGTTTGTTTTGATGATAGTTATTAGTGTAAGGATTGTTAAATTATTTTTATATAAAATAATAAAACAAATAAAAAAAATACAAAAACATTAAACATTAATATTTTAAAAAAAATGCCCAACATGTAAAAAAATTTAAAAAAATAAAAATAAAATAAAAAATTTCCAAAAAAAAATAAAACAAATAAAATAATGATTTTTACTTAACAAAAAACATAAAAAATTAAACATTAATATTCAAAAAAAATGCCCAACATGTAAAAAATAAAATAATAAATAAATAAAAATAAAAAATTTCTAGTCCGCTGGACTATTTTTCTAATATCAAGTCCTAGAGGCCCATCCGAATCTCTTTGGGAAGACTCATCCTAATCCGAAGCTCACTATCAGTCCGCTCCCCATCTCTCAAAACAAACACAATATTAGTGGGTCTCACTTCACTACCAATTCCAATCTTTCCTCTGCCTCTCCAAACAAATGGAGCCTTAAGGAAATATTGAAAATTGTCAATTAGCTGTGAGAACATATAGTTTTAGATGAAGAAATTAAAACACCAAGCTCCTTAGGGATCAATTTTTGGCCAAGTTTGACATGTTCAGAAAAAGTTAAAAAGTCAAAAAATTACTCAGAAAGTTAAAAAGTTAACACTATTCACCAAAAGTTAACAATTACGGCTGCATAACTTTTAATCCTAATTTTCTCATACAAACTAATTTTTATAATTTTTTATTACACATTTTTTCATAAAAAGTCAAAAAGTTAATCCAAATATCTATATTTTCTTCCTTAATTTTTTAGTCTAAAAAGATAAAAAATGTACTTATTTAGGACACTCTAAACAACCTCTTAGTTAGAATATATGGGTTCAACGCTTATTATAAAAGTGCGCCATAATATATATATATAATTTCAATGTTTATTATAAAAGATAAAAAAATAAAATAAAATAATTATACTTGATAGGATTAGATGAGAGTGTCGTGTGAGACCCTTATTTACGACTGGATTTTAAGAATTTTTTTTTATCCATATTGCCTTGAAAAAAAGAAAAAGAAAAAGGGGAGAGATTCCTCCCTTATTTGGGCAAGGTTGAAGCATGATGGCTTGAATTGCAAATTATAAGTTGGGTTATTTTTTAAACTGATTTTTTTTTTAATGATTTTTTTTTTTTGGTTAAAACTTTGAGCTAAACTATTCTACGTTTTTAAGTCCATTGAGATTAGATGATTCTAAAAATTAACAATATTTTTTTTAAAATCCAATAAAGACAATTTTATAAGAAAAAATTCAATAAAATTGAACTTATTTTTATCTTTTTATTTTTTTTTATTTTTTAGTTTTCAGTCCAATTTAGATGGACTAAAAAAAAAAAACACTAACATAATTTTTTAAGAAAGTAATTAAAGACAGAAATAAAATAAAATAAAAAATTTAAGGACAAATTACACAAATAGTCCCTATAGTTTGGGGCTTGTGTTACTTTGGTCCCTGACTTTTCAATTGTGACACATTTGACCCTGAATTTTGAATGTTGTTTCAAATAAGGACAATTGAAGATATTATTAGATTTTTCAAGGGTAAAATTGTCAATTTGATAAAATATAAACTAATTTGACAAAAATAAATGCCAAACAAATATTTTTGAATTTTTAAAAATTATTTCTACCTACTAAAAATAAAATTATGTAAAATTGATAAATCTTTTATACATTTATTTTTTTTTACCACATTAATTTTTATTATGTGTTTGGATGATGATTATGTAAAATTAATTTAAAAAAATTAATCATGTAATTTTTATTAATTTTACATAATTTTATCATTGGTGGATAAAAATAATTTTTAAAAAATTAAAAATATTTTTTTGACATTTATTTTTGTCAAATTAGTTTATATTTTATCAAATTGATGATTTTACCCTTGAAAAATCTAATGATATTTTCAATTGTGCTTATTTGAAACAAGATTCAAAATTCAGGGTCAAATGTGTCACAAATGAAAAGTTAGGGACCAAAGTGACACAAGCCCCAAACTACAGAGACTATTAGTGTAATTAACCCAAAATTTAAAATCAATTCAAAACTGATGACAGAAGAAATCTACGGCTCAATAGAATAAGATGGCAATTAGGAAATAAGTAAATAAATTTTCTGTAATCACTATCATAGACAGATTTCGCCTACATAATTGGCAGGTTGGTTCAACTTCAACTCATTAACAATATTCAAACTGTCAATATCCAAGAAAATCATGAGATTGACATTAACCTAGCAATATTCAAACATTCAAAATCCGAGAAAATCACAAAGATTGGAATTAACTTCATGGGAAATGTTCTAATATGCACCACTTCAAAGGGATGCATTTATAAGAAGAGTTTAGTTTTTGTGATTGAAGTTACTAATTTTTGTTATAGAAGTTATTATTTTTACGGTAAAGTTAGAAATTGTGAAGGTATAGTGTGGACGCTAAGGTTATATATGACAAAATTATACACTTTTTTTATGGTAAAAATTATACTTTTTGTATAAGGTGCATACCATATATAACTAAAAATTATATAATTTCTACCACAAAATGTATAATTTTTAATACAAAAAATATAACTTTTTACTCATTACAAAAATATAACCTTTTGCCTATCACAAGAAGTATAAATTTATTATTCATAACACCATAACTTCGCTATTTATAACTTTTACCACAAAAATTATAACTTCCACCACAAAAATTGATAACCTTCACTACAAAAATTGCAACTTTTCCTACAATGTGATTGTACCATTTCCTGATAGCCTTTCCCTAACTTCGTTAGTCTTTGCACTCCATAGCATACAGTATAAAAATTTGAGCTGCATAAGAAGAGCACTAGGGTGTCAAGGAAATATTCCACTAACATTTTTAATCAGCTGGAAAGGGATTAAAACCACCCTGCAACACATTTTCTAGCTAGCCAAACAGTGGTTTCGGAAGGTTGTTCCAATCATACCAATCCAAACTGTCAAAATCCAAGAAAACCATAAGATTGACATTAACTTGGCAATATTCAAACTGCTAAAATCCAAGAAAAACATAAGATTGACATTTAACTTCATTAGCCCTTTGCGCTCCCATATCATTTTTGATCAGCTGGAAAGGGATTAAAACCACCCTGCAGCATATTTTCTAGCTGGCCAAACAGTGGTTTTGGGAGGTCGTTCCAGTCATACCAGTCCCAGCCACCACACTTCTCAGGCTCATGATTTTGGGGCACTTGATCATGATCAGGAACTGGCAAGATTGGTAGTGCACGCATGAAGATGACAACACGATGTTCTGGTGGATTTGCTCCATCAGAGAAGATGTCGTTGGCGACAGTTAAGAACTCTATGTTGTGTATGTCTAAACCAGTCTCCTCCTTCACCTCTCTTGCTGCACATTCCTCAAAGCTCTCCCCTGAACCCAAATGTGAAATTTCACTGAGTAAACTAGCACATTACAAAGTGCATTACAATTGCAAATTGGCAAAAGAGATGTGAGAATGAGTGTGAGGACGGAACAAATATTGGGGGTGATGGTGGCAATTCTACGTGATAGTATTGATTAATGACACCGTCGACCAAAAAGAAAAAGAACTTCACATGAAATATCAATTTAATTTGCTATAGTAAGCATACAATGAAGCATTACATGATACATGACAAAAAAAACTCACAAACTAACAAACTAACAATATTCTTATTTATGTGAGTAGTTCTTATCATATTATTTGTGTAGTTTTCATTTTAAATACCAAAGTTTCATAACTTCATCCAGCGGCAGAGCAACAAAATTGAACTAGGAGCAAAAACAATTTAAAAGAAAAGTACAATGCACTTCACATTCTAACTATAATATAGAATCTAACTCTTCCTCGTCACCTAAACCCTCCTATTCCAAAACACTTGAACCAGCAACTTTCCCCGTTTAGTTTTTGATCGATGTCACTCATTTTTGTCATGTTCTTTATGCCATTGGAGAATGAAACAAAGGTTCATTTACTTGGAAAGTTTGGGTGGGGCTGCTGAATTGATGGGGGAATCAACAATGTGTTTGCCCTCATTCTTTAATGGGAGGGCTTATGCAATGTTGATTTTATAATCAGTATTTTGGACAGGAAAATGTCCTTGTGGGAAGCTATTTTCTATGCAACTGCGTGGACAATATGGAAAGTTAGGAATGATTTTGCAGTTCAACAATGTTTTGCCAAAGTGGGATGAAATTTTGGAGCTAATGAAAGTAACAGTGGGATTCTGGACAAAAGCCCATAATACGCTGGTGATGCTGCTCTTCCTTAGGCTGGATTTACGAGCAAAAAACGAGTGACGCCTCTTCTAACTAGGTGCTTTCCTCTATGTTTTGCTTTTGGTTGATGGTTCTGATTCTTAATCTGTTTTATTGATGGATGGGAGGTCTTTTGTTTCTTTTGGTTTTAGATGGTGGCTGCATTGACTGTTGCGGTCGCCCCTAGTCAACCCCCTTTGGGTGCATCGTATGTAAGGTTTTAAAAAGCGGCCGCAACCGTTACGTAACGCCGTTACGTAACGGTTGTGGTGGTTACCGCCACCCGTTACGGCTGCTTTTGCAGTGTGATTGAGATTCACTGATGTGTCGGCCGTAGCGGCCACTATAGCGGTCGTAATGGTGCCGTAACGGCCTGTTATGCACCTTTATGTAACGGTTCTGAATTGCTTCTTTTGAAAAAAAAAAAAAAAAAAAAATTGAAAATGGGAGAAGAGAGATAGAGAGAGAAGAGGGAAGATAAAGAAGGAAGGTGGAGGAGCAAGAGATAGAGAGAAAGAAGAGGGAAGATGAAGAACATGCTATTGATTTGTTGAAGCTGTAAGACCTATACTATTCTATTCAGCTGCTATCACTCAACCATTTTGTTTCTGTGTAATAATAATAATAATAATAATAATAATAATAATAATAATAATAATAAGTGTGGTCATTATCTATTTGGCTTGATTAAAATATATATATATATATATATTTAGGCTTTTATTTATTCTCTTACTTTTGTCATTGTTTATCTTATATATAATAGTTAGTGATTGATTTTTTTGTAGAATATAAAGTCATTAATTATTAAAATAAAATGTAAAAAACTCAGTTTATAGTGATTTAAAAATATGAAATATATTAGATCAAACTTAAAAATTTACAAAATTGATCAATATTTATTTTAAAACCCAATAGATATGATCATGGAAAAAAATGTGCATATCAGTAAATTTTTTTCAAATTGTGCAAAAAATAAAAAAATTCACGGTTCCGATAACCGCAACAGTTACGCTACGACCTTTACACCCTGCAACCGCAACCGTGCCACCGCCACCGTTACGACGACCGCAACCACTTTTCAGAACCTTGATCGTATGTATCGGACATGATACTGGTTGGACACTTCTTGAAACGTGCGAGTCATTCATCGAAAGGTCCTATTTTTTTTCAAAAATTAAAAAAATAGATACAGATATGTTTCACACACTTAAGGTAAACATGTGTCTATCACATAAGCACATAGGAGTATAAGTTTAAATAAAACTAACGGGTGGCACACGCAATGCATGTGCGATTCAGATAACTAATAATAACCACAAATAATAAAGAATTTAATGTCATAATATGTATGTTGCTTAACAAATAATAAAGAATTTAATATCATAATATGTATGTTGTTTAAGTTATAAGTATGTTCTTAATGAAATCTAAAGTCTTGAATATGTCCCTAATAAAACATAAAGTTTTGGGTTCAAAACTTACTTACGCTGTGCATAATAATTTTCTTATTTTAACATATATAAAGTTGCCACGTGACATGAGAAGAAAAAGATTTCACTAAACTAATTTAGGCTTCACTTAATAATAGTATAAATAATTTAGAATATAATTATAAAGGAAAAAATAATATATATTTATAAAAATTAATATTATGTTAAATTTTGTTATATTCTTAGAAAGATATATTCATATACATAATATATAATACAAATATAAAATTATATGTTTTATTTATGCTTCCCACTTGTGTGTCTTGAAATAAATATTCGTATAATAATGATACAAAAGGGCAGCATCATTGCAAGGACTGGATGACTAGACTAGTAAGAGATAGATAGAGGATGTGAATCTAATCCATTTAAAAAAATTTATTAGTTGATAATTGCCGTTACACTTAGGTCAAGTTTGGCATGATCAAAAAAAGATAAAAAGTCAAAAAGTCACTATCCTATTTAAGTCACATCATCTTATTTAAGTCACATCACCTCTCTAACACATCACTTCAAACCCAACCCAAACCCAACCCATATTTCATAAAAAGTCAAAAAGTGCACTTATTTAGTCTTCCCAAACTAGGCCTTAATATTCATTCTGGGCCTTGAATTTTAAAAAATCGGTGGTGTTAAAAGACACTAAATAACATATAACTAATGAGGTGATAAAGAAAAAAACAAAAACAAAAACAAAAAAATAGTAGCTCTAATTTCCCACTCATTTTCCTTAAAAAATTATCATATATGTATGTATACGAGTCTCATGTGTCGTGTTTGTGTCCTATCACGTGTGTTTGTGTTCTTCTTCGACTCAAACTTTGATTTGCTGTCATTTATGATGAATCTTGACAAACAGGGACACGGAAGAAAAGAAGAAGGAAGAGAAAAAGACAGATGGGTAGATGAGATGAGACCATAGATGAGAAGAAAAAACAAATAAAGAAGGGAGAGATACAAACAGGTAAATTAGAAAGTAAAAAATAAAATGAGAGAAATCTAAACGAAGAGTGTGTAAGATTTTAGTACAATAAATAATTATTTAAACAAAGTAAATTGCAACAAATTTGTTTATTTAAAAATAAATAAACAAATTTGAGAGGAATATATTATACTAGTATGTAATTGTAGAGGTGGGGATCTGAACCATAATATCTCATAACTAGTAGGGACAAGGAAGTAAAATCAAATGATGATCATAGCATTACTGTTTTGGAAATCGAAGATCAATCCAATTGCATTTGAACCAAAACTTGAAACCACAAAACAACAAAGTAAAACCACTACAAACCCCAATTGAAGAGAGAGAGAGAGAGAGAGAAGTAACCAAACTCAAGGTGGCCGCCAGGGGGAAAATAGGAATCACGGCCGATGGGGGTAAGGCGCCGCCCCAAAAGCAGTTTATTCCCCTTAATCAGGAACACCGCCACCCCAACCTGCGGCGCAGCCACCGTCGACGGCGATACAGTCCCCAATTTCGATGTATTGTTGTTGTTATAGCAGTATCTGATGATAGAGCCAGAGGGGTTGTTGTTTTCACACTTCAAATTCAACTGGCCTTGCCTTTGCCTAATCTCTCTCCTTGTTCCCACGACGAGACTCGCATTTGGGATCCCCCCAGCGTAGTTTATTCCCTGCCCTAGTACCAAAGCTTGCTGATTGGGCACCATTTCTCTCTTCTTTTCTTATCTGCTTTTTCTATAAACTTTTCTACTATAACCTTTTTTTTAAAAAACATTTTTCTGTATCTATATCTATATCTATAAATAAACAGTACTAGTCATTTTAAAAGTGAAACGTGGAAAACATTTTATTTATTTTATTGTTATTGGCGTTGTCGATCAATCACCAAAATATTGGCAGCCTAGTCCTGTTGTTCAGCGGCAGGGGCAATAATTTTTCCTGCAGTTCTACTGCTGCTACTATATATATTTTTGTCTGAAACCGAGCACATATTCTCCCTTGCGCCCTCTCCTTGCACTCTCTCGTTGTAGAGTTTTCGGACTCATTTTTAGGTTTAATTTTGGTATTGCGCTCTCTTCTTGCACTTTCTCCTTGTAGAGTTTTCGGATTCATTTTTAGGTTTAATTTTGATAATTCGAACCATTCATATTTTAAGATTTATTCAGTATATCATACTTGTAAAAATTAAGTTGATCGGATATCAGAAAATATGTGTTCAGAAAAATCAAACTAAAAAATATTTTTTAAAAAAACTTAATAAACAGTTTTCGAACACATGCTTTATGATATCCGATCAATTTGATTTTTTACAAGTATGATATACTGAATAAATTTTAAAATATGAACAGTTCGAATTATCAAAATTGGACCTAAAAATAAACCCGAAGGCGCTGCAAGTAAGGAGTACAGGTAGAGAGTGCAGGGGAGGATCCCAATTCCTACCTTACTTGCCTACGTAAAAACGTTGGGCTTTTGTGCTGGGCCTATAAATACTGCCTTCAAGTTTGCCGTATAAATGTTAGAATTCCTTAATGGCCTCGTACATTACATGTATTTATTAAGCCCAACACCTTATTCCATAACTAAAAATAATTAGGGCATTTATCAATAAATCTCATATATAAAATTTAAAATTCATCTAATCCTAAAATAAAATATTTATACTAATTAATCTTACATATTTTTAATTGTTATCAAAAACTCTTTTTATTTTTTATTTTTATAACTTTAAAAATGCTGCTACATCAAACAACTTCCATTAGATTCACTGAAGACTTGCCAAAGTATTCAACATCACTAGGAAGTCGCTGAAGCATCACTGGAAGTTCGCCGGAGTGTTCTGAATGTCACTGGAAAATGTAAAGAACATTATCAGAGACTCACCGGAATATTCAGAATATTGCCAGAAAAAAAAACAAACGAACAAATAGAGAAATTATAGCTAAAAAACATAACAACAAACAAACAATAATGAGAAAAAATATATATTATTTTTCAATTTTTCTAGGGTTTAAACAAACAATTTGTAATATTGATCAAACTGAAAAGTAAGCTTTGAAAGTGTAAAATGTTACAGTTTCAAAGTATTATTCTATTAAGCTGAAAAATATATTATGAAATTATAAAATTTTACAGTTCTAAAGAATGTTATGGAATTGCAAAATTTTACAATTTTTAAGTATGATTCATTTCAGCACCAAAAAAAGCTAAAACTATAAAATTTTACAGTTTTAAAAGCTTGTAACTAAAATTTAAAAATAACTTATTTAGAACATAAAATTCTTCTCTATTAAAATAGAAAAATAGACGTGTGTAACAGAGAGAATGTAAAAAAATTGAGAAATCGAAAGAAAAAATAGATATAGAAAGAATATTGTACTTCGGCAACTATTTTTTGTTTACATCAAATCGGATCTCATATAGATTTACTCAAATCTGATATAGATCTCATCTTCTTTGCCGTCAGTGAGGATGAAGTCACGAGTTGATGTCGGTGGTTGCCGATGAACCCCAATCAATAGTGGTCATCGGTGACTATATATTAGAAAGAGAAAGAGAATAAGGGAGGTGTGGTCATTGGTCGTCGGACATGACAAAGAGAAGGAAAAGAAAACGCAGAAAAAAAAGAGATAGAGGAAAACATAAAGAATGAGACAAAAAGCAAAGAGAGAGAGAAAAAAAGGAAAACATGTAGGACTTTTGGGTCTATTCAAAAAGTTATTAGATTAAATAGTGTACACATATTTCAAACAGGACCTACGAGTAATTTTTCCAAAATAGTTTTGGGTCATAATCCAAATCACAATGATCTCATAACTAATTTTTTTATTTTTTATTTTATTTTTTTTGATATAGTCGGACCAGCTTGCGCACACCTTGATTAATTCTAGAGCTCTAAAGTTAACGACCGGACAAACAACAGTGGTTCCAAGGTTTGAAATGTGTGGTCTTTGTGAGATTTGAATTTACAACCTTTTGAGTGGCAAGTCTTAACGCTATGTTTGGTTTGAAAATTTGAGAAGGAATTTGAAAAGGGAAAAGAAAATGTAGATGAAATGTGAATAAAATATACCTATATTTTACTTAATTTCACACCCCTTTTCTCTTTCTCTTTCAAAATGTCTTTTCAAATCTTCCAACCAAACACAACATGAGAGATTTGGTTTAATGGGAAGAAAATGCTACACATTGGGAGCTGATAATAAGTGAAACTTAAAAATTACCCTTTTCTCTAATTTCAGGGAATTTGTTATTTTAATTTATTTAGCTATTTTAAAATCATATGCAAAGATTAAAATTAAACAAATAACATGAATTCTCAAAATAAAAAAGTATAAGCATCTCTTAAAACTGCACTAAACAAACTCCTATCTCATAGTTAATATCACTTTATTGAGTTAACATTATTTTATATTATAATTAATACTACTTTAGTTCAGAGTCTGTTTTTTCATCTCTCTAAAAATCGCAAAAAAAAAAAATTAAAAAAAAAACCTATCTAGGGAAATATTGCATTTTAAAAGTAAACCATATTTTTAAAATCCAATTTCATGGTAACCTAGCCACTCACCAGCATGGCAAGAGGTGCTTGAGATGCAATTCGTAATTTCAAGTTTCAATTTTAGTAAAATTGCATTTTCAATGTGATTTCATGATGATACAAAATCACTTAATCACACTTTGACTTTATTATACTCACTTTAGTAACCTTTATCACACTATATTTTATTAGACTTGGCTAGAGTCATGCAATTAAGAATGTAAAAATGGCTCGCGGTCTATGGGCAGTTCGTGGTTTGAGATGGACCCAACTCGTTTGGACCCAGGCCCGAGCCTAGTTCGATACCCTTGTAAGAGGGGCTAATTTGAGCCCACTAAATTATTTAGGCCCAATAGCCCAAGATTAGTGGGCCCGAATTTATCGCAAGTCCAAGAATCGGTGGGCCCAGATTTATCACCATCAAACGGATTGAATCGCTCTAAGCCTCGAAAGGGTTCGGATCCACGAACCTAGAGACTTACTCGGGCCCGGACTCGAAATGGTATTAAGCAAGCCTAGAGATCCGAGGCACTCGAACTCGAAAGGATTCAGACCCACGAATCTAGAGATCCGAAGTACTTGGCTTCGAACGGATTCAGACGCAATCTAGAAGTCGCTCCGTTAATGAGTCCCAGAACACTTGCGGGCTCGGAGCTTTCCGGGATTAACCTTTATCACACTATATTTTATTAGACTTGGCTAGAGTCATGCAATTAAGAATGTAAAAATGGCTCGCGGTCTATGGGCAGTTCGTGATTTGAGATGGACCCAACTCGTTTGGACCCAGGCCCGAGCCTAGTTCGATACCCTGAGCCTAAGCCATCATTTTGAAGCCTGGTCCATCGGCCTGTTTAAGGCCCACTCAAGGCCCGGCCCGCCTGAGGCCCAATGTTCTTTTTAGTAGAAAATAATAAAATTTTGGTAGAAAAAATTAAAAAAACAATAAAATTTGTTCAAGCCCGCCCATAGGCCCAAATACTCCTTGAGCTTGGACCTAATTTTCTGACCCGTGAGTCAGCTCGGTCCAACCTGAATTTTGAAAAGAGCTCGCGAGACCCGACATAGGCCAGGACGGGCCAAATTTACACCCCTACATGCAATGAACTATCGAATCATGCATTGACTTGTCAAATTATTAGGGAGAGACTTATTCCATCATGTTGTGACTTGACAAATCAGGTAGTGACCTATTGAATCATATAATGACTTGTAAAAAAAAAAAAAGTAAATGACTGATCAAATCAAGTAATAAATTGACAAATCAAATTAGTAATTTGTCCATTTCGTATGTCACATGGGCCCTTGGATAGAAAAAAATGTGCCAAAATAATCGGCTCTTTTGTTACAAAAGCTTGGAGAAGTAACTATTTTCAACAATAATTGTAGTATTAAAAATTATAAAATAGATAATAAATGAGTGAGGAAAGTAGAAACGCAAGTCACATGGATAAACATTCTTGCATTTGTATGAAAATAGAAGGATCATGCATACTTTGTCCGTATAGAATGTTCTTGACATGCTCCAACAATTGTTGTAACAATTTTGCCTGACTTTGATTTATTGATGTCAATAGGATAAATACAATTTATCCTTAAGTTGCTTATGATTCCACCTATGCAATTTCATTACTTGAAATTGAAATGTAATTGTATGTTGAAAATATAATAATTTCCCAATGTCGTTATTTCCTTTAAAAAAAAAAATCTCATCCAACACATAACCAAACACCTTTTAAGGGTATTGTCTGATAGTAGGGACTATAACACAATCTATATATAATTGTAGAATTAAAACCCAATCAAAACACATGCTATATACATTTACATTATTGGAAAAAAGTTTGAGATCTTAAAATCAAAAAAGAGCCCAAAAAAAAATCTCATCCAACACATAACCAAACACCTTTTAAGGGTATTGTCTGATAGTAGGGACTATAACACAATCTATATATAATTGTAGAATTAAAACCCAATCAAAACACATGCTATATACATTTACATTATTGGAAAAAAGTTTGAGATCTTAAAACATGATTTTTTAATTTATTCATAATGATGTGGACTACTTTTATTTATTATTGATTTGTTTAAAAATGAATCACCACTATAAGAAATTGCACGTTTGGCGATTAAATTTTTAATCGCCAAAAGTCAAATTTTAGTCATTGAAAAATTTTCCTAACTAAAATAGTTTGGTCACCGGCTTGATCACGAGAAGATTGTCAAGGAAAGTATCGGCGACTAAAAACTATTTAGTCACCAAAAGTCTTAAATTGGCAACTAAACAATTAATCGCCAATAAGAAAGGTATTGGCAACTAGTTTTTTTAGTCATCGAAAGTCAGTAATTGGTGACTAAAAATTTAGTCGCCCAAAAGTTTTCAATAAACGCTTTTTTTGTTTTAGCGACCAAAATATTTAGTCGCTAAAAGCGTGACATTCCTTTTTGGCTATCAATTTTTTTGTCACTAAAATCATAGTGCTCCTTTTTAGCTACTAATTACTACTAAATTTTTAGTCGCCAAAAACTTTTTTTTTTTTGGCTACTAACTATTTAGGCCCCGTTTGGGGACTTATCTTTTTAACCAATTAGCCAAAAAGTTACTAAATTAGCCAAAAAGCCAACAACTCATACCAAAAAGTCAAAGATTCTCTTTTCTCTCTACTTTTTACACATCTTTTCGTAACTAGCCAAAAAGTCATCCCAAACATACAAATTTTTTTTACCTACCTTTTTAGCCAAATAGTCAAAAAATTACTAAATTAGCATGTTCCCAAACGAGGCCTTAGTCGCCAACAAGTTCCTTTTTTATTTTTTGGCTACTAAATGTTTAGTCGCCAAAAGCTCTATTTATTAATTTTTTTTAAAATGCATAAATTGAATATTTTTCATTAATTTTTAAATTATATGCATTATCCATTATCAATGCAACCTATAACCTGTACATATACAGAATAATATATCTATCAATTATTATCTAAATCCATTATCAATAAGGCCCATTTCATTATCAACTATCCAAAAACTTTAACTTGTAACATCATATTCCAAATATCATATAAATCCGCACCAACCAAGTATAATCCATCTAAATTAAATATTACATACAAAAACACTGAATTTTCAAAATAGAGGGTTGTAGAAAAATAAATGTCTCCCATATACAGAACATATGCTCTTCGTACACAAAAATAAATATCCACAATAGCCCACGCAAAAACAATCTGTAAAAAATAAAACAAAAAAAGAACCATTAGCACTTATTCAATAAAATTAACATTTCAAATTATAACAATTATAAAAAGAAAACTGAATTAGAATACCTTTAATGAGTTAACATGGTGCACCGAAAGAGGAGATAACATGATAAGTTTTCACTAGGCAGCAAAATTAGGTTTGGTAAAGCACAGCAGAGAAATAGTTTAAGAAAGTATTCAGCAGACTCCAAAAAATGAAATAAAATAATCAGGAAATGAATTAATTTGTAATTCTCTAAGACTGGAAGAAGTGAGTCTTCTTATTAAGCCTCTGCACAAGAAAATCAATAGTTTAACAACTCAACAAATAAAACTTACATACAGAAGAACATTATAATTAAGGCCTCGTTTGGGAAGGCTCTGTTTTAGCCAAAAAGTCAAAAAGTTACTAAATTAACCAAAAAGCCAACAACCCATATCAAAAAGTCAAAGATTCTCTTTTCTCTCTACTTTTTGCACATCTTTTCGTAATTAGCCAAAAAGTCATCCCAAACATACTAATTTTTTTTAGCTCATATTTTAACCAAATAGCCAAAAAGTTACTAAATTAGCATGTTCCCAAACGAGGCCTAAGAAGTGTGTGAGATCCATGCATGAAGAAGCCAATAGTAGAAAACCTTTGCTTCTAAAACAACACCAACTATACATCAAACAGCAAGGTCTATCTATTAAAAAATTCCATAAAATTGAAAACAAAAAATATTGCCAAGGCCATATGATTATTAACAAAACCTTAGACATCAATCATCATCACACCACTCACAGTTGTAGTATATATAACATTAGCAATAGAGAATTTCTCACCAAAAATGATTTACACCCAAGTCGCTTGAGACTTTAAAAGGATAAGACAAAGCAAAGCTTCACAAGTTGTCTAACTAAAAAAAGCCTTCATAACTTATGCACAAGGCTGAAGAAAACCTCCATTTTCACCATACCTTTTTTTAGTCCAGGTGAAACATCATGAAAGATAAAATAAAATATAAAAGAATAATATATTTGAGTAATATAAAGCTCAAGTAGTGAACAAAGTACCTCAACATGTAATCAAGACTTCCTCCAGCTCTGTTTTTGTGCCTTTTGAATCCTGTTAATTCATTATTGCCAGATTTAACATATAAGGGCATCAACCAATTTTCTTAATGTGAATGTAATTAATTTCCCCTTAAAGTAATTTGTAACATGAGCAATTTTCACATCCCAACACAATCTATTTCTGTTCAATAAGTATCCTAGACCTTTTCCCCATTGGCCAAAAGTTTACAAAAACTGATTTGTTTACTTTGTGTTTTTCTTAACAATCACCAAGGCTGGCAACAATCTAATTATGCTGGTAATAATAATATGACAAAATAAGAAATAATTAGGTTCCAATTCAGAAGACTAGGAACCACTATTATTAAGCAATAAAGGTAATAGCTAAATTAGTTAACTTCAAGAAACAAAAGCAGTGGTAATCTGAATAGTGATATCTCAAATACTATCTAACATAAGGTCATATCTCTATAACCACTAGACATGATGAAGCTTGTTGTTTTGATCCATATTGTCAATTAATATTGCAATTTCTATCAAAAAATTATAAAACTAATAATAGTCCTACCTTAAGCTTGCATCACTAGTTGCTAATGAATCCGATCCGACAAATAGACCACAAATATTCTTCTGCAAAATCACTAAAAATCTCATTGTATGTTAATCATCATTCATGATGTGTTCCATTTATTATTTTCTTTACATCAACTTTTGCTATCATTGTATTAAACTAATATAAAAAATATAAATCCCAATACTGAATAAAATTTCATCTATTAACATAACTATGCCACCAAGGACCACACATTTTACAAAAATCATGTAAATCAATTCCATATCCAAATCTGGCTTCATTAACCACTAATGGATCACACGTATAAACTTTGTGCTCAAAGAGTATTTCTCCGGAAAACAAATTTTTAAACACACACAATTCTTGAAACAAATCATGATGAATACATCTATATGTAACCAAAAACGTACCTGTAACTTGCACAAGTTGGCGAGAATTTTGTTGGAAAGTCTAAGAGACATTTTATCAAACAGTTTGGAGGCAAGAAAAAAAAAAAGAGTATTCAACAGAAAGGATTCCATACCCTATATTCAACTTTTGTCCCATCTTTATTCTGAAAGGAAAAGAAAAATGACTAAGCACATCAACAAACAAGTAATGAACAAGCATTACTCAATAGCCAGTTAGAAAAGTGTCACATTGGTCAATCAAGAAACAAACACAGCAAGTAACTAAAAGAATTATAACTCAAGGTGAATGGAAATTCCAATGTAAATCAATAGCTATGAAATTACAAAACCCCAACTTGAACCCAACAAGAATCCTATACTCACAGGCATTAAGCTCATATCTACAAAAAGGTTAATCAACACTGCTTCAGTCCTCCAAAAGCCAAATCTTTGAAGCATAAATATGTGTCTTTCACATTGTATATTTGTAATACTTCATTCAGTAGCAGAATTTGCAAATACAAAGGGTTTAGTTGCAGCTTATTCTCAATTATCTCTAATCCACACTAAAGTTTCAATCAGGAAAACAGGTAGATACAACAAATCTTTCTCAAATCTTATGATGAAGGCATTTGCAAAGGGATGAATCTATTTCATAAAGAATTTAGAATGAAGCGAAAATTCTTGCATTAACAGTTATGATCCTCCTACTGTATTGGTATCTTTTCCCTCATTGTAAATAATATTTATTATCAGCAATCAAGAGAGTTTATCATGAGAAGATAACCTGTTATGTTTAAACTTATTGATGTTTCCTTCTGGTCACCCAACAACCGCATTGCTTTAGAAATGTCCATGGGGTGATTTAATGCTTTAGTGCTATGCTTTTGTAAACATTTTGATGACTCCTTCTCATATGCGGCATGGTTTGTGAAAGCCAATATTGCCATAAAAAACGTCATAGTAGCATGAACATAGGCTTGCGCGGCAACTTAAGGTTCTTGTTATTGCTACTAATTATTACTCAAAAAGCTTAAGCTATTAGGGATTAGGGCTGGTATAAATTCAAGTATTGTTTTCATCCACATGCCATCTCATGTGTGGTCAGACTTCCTTTCCTGTGGACTGTGTTTCATGGACTCATCTATTTCACCCCCGTGTCCACCGAATATCACAAGGGTAGAAGTGTGGGATGTGTTTGACACCCATATCCAATTTAGACACTTAGATCCTCTAAATTTTTATGATGTTTGAAAAAGAGGAAACTCTCATTTACTAGTAAATAAACATTTCTAATCTCTGACATGGATGGGAGATAAAAAAATTTATATTTTCCTAAATTCTATTTAAGTACATTTCTACACAATTTATAATATCTTATCTAAGAATATTACAAAAAATGCAATATATAAGTGTGTTGTTCATGACATGTCTCCATACCCATATCCAACTTTTAAATACATCTCCCAATATCTTAAGTTTATGAAGGTCAGACGATGGGCACTAACCTATACCCAATACTCGTACCTAGGTACATGTAATATAGCTGGTGGGCAAAACCTGTGCTTGCATTATAATTATTAGTAAAGTACCAGGGACAAGGCTTAGAGGAGTTAACTTAAGCATGCCACCGGTCATATCATGCGTTTACATTCTAATAAGTGCTGTTTTGCTAGGACTTAAGCGGGACATAGTTCTCTAGTTATTTAATTCTCACTTTCACAAAACTCAAACCAAAAGAGAGCTCCATAGTTAGGTTTTTTCCTTTCGCTAAATGTTTAGAATATATTGAATTGTATGCTCAAGTAATCTTTATTGATATTTCGATTAAGCACCCAAAAAATGTTAAAAAATTTATGCACTTCCTTTTATAGAGTGGGTGAGTAGATATTTTATGTTCTCATCTCAATTGTATCGTTCTGTAGGTTGCAAAACAACTTTTCCCAAATCTTTCTCCCAAACAGCTTTTCATTAATTTTTAAACCTAACTCAATTTCTTCATCCTCTTTCTAATTTACCTATATGACATGCAAATAAAATCTAATTTGTTTCCAATTACATGAAATTTAGCCTAATCATTTCTTGATTTTAATTATTAGATGATTAATCTACAAGAATCAAGCATGCAATCCTTACCTAGAGGTCTTTATTGATAATCTCTTGAGTAAAAGGGATCTACATCACCTCTTGAGCTCCCAGCACAAACACACACCCGTGCACTCCGTGGGTGATGGAGATGCTTCAAAAGTCCATAACTTTTCAATCTTGAACCAGAACAGGGCACACATTCACAAATATTCACTAGTATGTATGTAGAATTTTTTTAAAAAAAAACTGAAGAAGTTAATGCTATTAGATTCAATGTTTGATTAAGAAACACAAATAGAAGTCCAAAACATTGAAATTAGAATGTAGACTAAATCAGAATCCAAAACCTAAAATCTGTAGACCATAATATAACATATCTCTAAAAATCCAAAACCTAAATTCACCATTTCTTTTCAATGAAGAGCTTGACAAGTGTAGATTTCCAAAAATCCAATACATACATAGACAAATTGAAAGAGAGAGAGAGAGGTTACTGACTGAATAAGATCTCGGAGCTGTTGAGCGCGAGAGCGACGGTTAATGCCCTTATGGAGGACATTGTGGTGCAAATGAAGGCCGTTGGCCTCGATCTAATCCTTCACCCATCTTACATCCTCTGTCGTTGGTGAGATCATTTCTCATCCAGACACGGCAGCTCCGGCGGTGGTTAAGGCCGCGGGAGAGGGGCAAGAACAAGAACGAGGAGGAGGAGAAGGAGAAAAAGAAAGAGGAGACAAGAGGACAAAGAAGAAGGTCGCGGCCGCAGCAGTAGCAGCAGCTGAGAGCTCCAGAACAGGCACCGAAGAGGGGGACAGACGCTGAAGAGAGAGAGAGAGAGAGAGAGGCGCTGGTTTGTTTGGTTTGGAAACCAAATATATATATATATATATATTTATTACACCATTAGCGGCTAAATATTTTTAGTCGCCAATTAGTTTATTTTATTTAACCCTCCAGAATTTAAAAGGTCTCCCTCCAAATATTTCAGTTTTTAGCGACTAAATTTTTTTTTTGGTCCCTGAAATTATGTTTTTGGCAACTAATTTTTGGTCGCCAAAAATAAAAATTAATTTTTTATTTTCCATTCGACGACTAAATGATTTTAGTAGCCAAAACTCATTATACGGCGATTAAAATATTTTTTTGTTGTTGAAAATATGTTTTGGTCGCCAAAGATAACAAATAATTTTTTATTTTTCATTTGGCGACTAGATGGTTTTAGTAGCTAAAACTCAATATATGACGACAAAAATATTTTTTTGTCACTGAAAATATGTTTTTGGCGACCAAAAAAAGATAAAAAAAAAATATTTTACATTCGGTGACTAAAATAAATTTTTTGTTGCCAATTCTAATATTTTTAGCGACCAAATTTTTTTGTAGTCTCCAATAATTGATATACTCCGACTTAAAAAAATTAGTAGCTAAATATTGTACTTTTGCTGACTACAAAAATTTTTGGTCGCCAGTTCCATAACTTTTGGCGACTAAACAATTTTTAATCGCCAATTTTAATTGCCAAAATTGCCAAAAGTACATTTTGTTATAGTGCACTTAAGACTCAACTCCACGTCACATTAATAAAAAAACATTTACGAATTAATTTTTAGAGATCTCTAATATTTTTCTTACATTATTATAGTAGTATATCAAAATAAGATAAATTTGTTTGTCTCCCTATTGGTGAGATTAAAAGTGGAGGGAATATATGAGGCTCACCCCATTGTTAGTCTATTGTTTAATTAGGGAATATAAATAAATAGATTAAAGATGGGGAACATGTGAGCTATACCCAATAATTCAATTCAGTGTAATCATAGATAGCGTAGTATTAGAAGAATTAGGCCTGTCCGAATTTTTTTCCCTCCATCCCACGATTAAAAATAATTATATATTTTTATTTTATTATAATCAAATATAATATTTCACTTATTTTATCTAATCATATATTATTTATATATTATCAAAAGTATTATTGTTTCTCTCTTGCTTAGGTGGCAAAATCTAAAAGTTTATTTTTTTCTAAAAAAATCTATATCAGTATGTTTTTTTCATTTACATATAAAATTCTACACAAATTCAATTTCAATTATAATAACTAATTTTATATGGACTCTATTTGAGAAATATATATTTTCCATATATATAATTATAATTTAATTATTGTGAAATTTTGAAAAAAATTATCTCGATATCCCACATCGAAAAAATAAGAAAAAAGTGAATTGTGTCACTTATATAAAATGAACGTTATACTCCTATTTAATATTGTAGTGTTATGCATGTTTCAGTTCAATATAGTTTAAATTTTAAATAAAAATAACATTTAAAAGTTTTAATTAATTAATTTTTGTATAAGTTAATTGGTCTTTTGACCTAACCGATTAGGCTAAACCGTTTTAGGTTTAACTGATTCGCTGGTTTAACCGTAATCTTAGCAATTTTATCAAAATACATTGGTTAGATTTATTTGTTTCGAAATAAACTAAAGATTGACCTAATTAAAGATTAAATGGCTGATATAATTTGATTCAAAATAAACTTTTAGTCCGAACAATTGTTAATTTTTATTTTATATAATTCTACATAAGGATAAGAATGAAAAAGTGAGTTGTTTCACTTATATAAAGAAACATATAGTTCTATTTAATATTGTAGTGTTGTGCATATTTCAGTTGAACACAGTTTAAATTTTAAAATAAAATAAAATTTAAAAGTTTTAATTAATTAATTTTTGTGTAAGTTGGTTGGTCTTTTGACCGATTTTAATAATTTTATCAAAATATATACAATGTTTTATTTCTGAAAGGTATGTTTAAATTTTATGACAAACTTCAACATAGAAAAAAAAATAAAACTAAAAAAATTATATAACAAAATTCATTTTTGTTTTTATCATAAATATACTTTTTTTTTAAAATTTATTCTATTTTTTTCATCTTTACCAATTAAATTATGACAACTATTTCTTATTGTGAACTTAAAATATACAATTACAGACATAACAACTGCAATATCTATTCTAATAAAATGGTTAAAATTTAATTGATTCTAAATTATTTTTATATATTTTTAAAATAAATTTTATGTTATTATTTAATTTTAAAATTATTTTTAATTATTTATTTAGCTCGTGCATTGCACGGGTTCATATCATATCAAATATATATTATTAAAAGTAGTATTTTTCTTTTGTTTAGGTGGCAAAATCTAAAAACTTACTTCTTTTTTTTTCCCTAAAAAATCCACATTAGTATGCATTTTTCATTTACATATAAAGTTCTACATAAATTCAATTTCAATTGTAATAACCAATTTTATATGGGTTCTATTTGAAAAATACTTATTTTTCATATATATAATCATAATTTGATTATTATGATATTTGAAAAAAATTATCTCAATATCTCCCATCGGAAAAGAATAAAAAAGTGAGTAAGTGACACATTCTAAAGACTTCATTTTTTTTTCTAAAAAATCCATATCGGCATGCCTTTTCGATTTATATATAAAATTTTACACAAACTTAATTTCAATTATAATAATCAAATTTGTTTGGACTATTTTTCTTTACTATATGTACTAAAAAATACTTTATGAATTAATTTTCTTCTACTTTTTCACTTTTGTTCAAGTATTCAATTTTTATATTAAAATTAAAAATATTTTTAATTTTTTTTGTCTATCTTATTTATATGTTATTATTAATTTATATTGAGTTTCCTATTTAACATGAAGTTTTTTGTTAGGAAAAATTTATAATTAATTTAAACTTTATATACATATATATAATATGCATAAACAATTTTAAAATAGATATTAAAGAAAAATTAATATTCAACGTAATAACGTAATTAATTTATCTATTTTTTCCTTAATCTAACCACAACACACTTATATTTAATTTTTTAAAATAATTTTTCTTATAACTTCCATTCCTATTTTTTTTTTATTTCCAACTGAATAAAATAAATAAATAAATAGAATCGTTTTTAATTGTATGTTACTATTTTTTTCTTTTCAATTTAACTATTGTTATTAATGTCAAATTGAGTATTTATTTTACCATGTCATAAATTAATATCATATAAAATCATTATATATTTATTTCAGCTACACTTTTATAGCACGATAGGGTTAAAATTATTAAAATACACATAAATAATTGAAATAAAATTATTTTATATATTTGTTTAGATAAAAATTTTATAGAACGATAAAGTTAAGATTATCAAAATAAATAATTATAATTATTCTTTAATTTTAAATGACTTTTTTTTTCCAATTTAATCATTATTTTTAATATTAAAATGAATATTTATTTTATTATATTGAAATTAAGTACAAAAGTATCACATATATATATACATTTAAACTACACTTTCATAGTTTAACAGAACGAAAATTACACTTTTTATTTCATAATAGATTTTTTTAAATAATTATATATATACATAAATATATATTATTCTTTCGTAATACATACATTGCAACATATTTTTAAAACTAATTTATATATAGACATATAAAAATAATTTAATTTAATTTTATAAAATATTATTTAACAAGAAAAAAATTAACCCGTGTATTGCACGGGCCAACTACTAGTATATTATTAAAAATAGTGGTTTTCTCATACTTGGGCGGCACAATATAATGGCTTACTTTTTTCTAAAAAAGCCACATCAGTATATATTTTCGGTTCTACACAAATCCAAACGTGATTTAAATTATACTAACTTTACCTATTTTATATGGACTCTATTTGACAATTTTTTTTTCATATATTTTTCATCGTAAATTGAGATAATCCACAAACCTAATACCAATTTTGCGTTTCACGTTTTTCTTCTTAATTCTTTCAAGGGTATTAAGATTTTTTTTTAATGTTAAATTGCCTTTTTTATTTTTCTTCTTATTTTTCTATGTATTATTCTATACCCAATACCAATTCTATATTAAAATATATTATGAATTTGCCGTTTAAGTTTTATAGTAATTCCATATATGAAATTATTTTCATTTCTTACATTATTTTATATATTCACAACTCACAGGAGGAAAAACATACACAATGATGATACTCTCGAGAAACTTTTAAAGTTTAGATTTACTGCTTGAGTTACCTTTTCAATTGTTATAAGTGCTTTTATATTTTGACTTCATATTACAACGATTAATTACTTCACACTCTGAGATTTATCTGTGGTTTGGATATTTTCATTATTTTCTTTTTCAGGTTTAGATATTGTTATATGATTCTTTCTTGGTTAGTTGTTATTGAATTTCTTTTATATAGTTGATATTTTAATTTAATTAAGAGAATTTATTTTACAATTTTATAATTTAATATATATATATATATATCATATAAAATCATTATATGATAATCCAATTACAACATATTTATATTTAATTTTTTTAATAAATTTTTACTTCTACATATTTTTATTTTCCAAATGAATATAAAAGAAAATTAAATAGTTAGAATTACTTTTAATTTATATTACTAATTTTTCTTTCTAATTTAACTATTATTTTTAATATCAAAATGAGTATTTATTTTACTATTTTATAATTTAATATGTATTATACAAAATTATTATATGATAATTACACTTTTATAATGCGATATAACTAAAATTATCAAAATATAGGAATAATTTAACTAAAATTAATTTATATAATTATTCAAGCAACAATTTTATAGAAAAATAGTGCTAATATTATCAAAATAAATAATTAAAATCATACTTTAATTTTAATTTTAAATTAAAATTATTCATTTATAATACACATTATATCATCAAATATTTTTTGAAAAAAAATAGCACGTGCATTATATGGGTCAATTGCTAGTATTATTAA